ATAAATTATTATACATAGTATATACACATATAATTTAGTGCTCAATGGTATTGCGATTTTAACAGGTCGTGTTGCAAATTTTTTGAGGAATATGGTGCAATTAGTCAGGTCAAAAAAGGAAAAATTTCGCAATCGTGTTGCAGCGGTTGGCAATGCTTGTCAACCTATAACCTTTAGTGGACATTTTTTAAGCACTGGTTATGCAGTTTAAAATGTGTATGTGTAAATGTGTAATGTTTTTATATGCTGTTGAGCCACGTAGAAAATCAGTTCTTATCTATTGTTAGGTTAGAAACACCAGTCATGGGGGTGCCGAGTGAATAACCCGCATGGTGTCACCTTGTATAATTTTACCAATCTAAAAAAATTTAAAGTTCTAGCTACACCTGACCCAACATATTGGCCTTCGTCTTTCCCGAAAAACCCGGATATTCTAGACATTTTTGTGACCAATATACCCAATAACTTATTTACCCCTACTAAAAATTTACTTGATTTAAATTCCGATCAATCGTCAGTTTTCTTAACTCTCAATACTTCCCCAACTTATAAAGAATCCAATAAACAATTTAATAAATTCACAGATCATCAAATGTTTACCGAACTAGTCAATAAAGAAATATATTTAAACATAAAACTAAAAAAATCCCGATGATATAGATTTAGCGATCCAAAACCTTACTAATGTTATACAAACTGCAGCTTGATCAGCTACAAATACTATTCTAACTATTCCCTCATCTGATCCTTTACCTGTGTACATACGTAACAAAATAGTCTAAAAACGGAGAGCTAGAACTATCTTACAGCGCACTCGGCTCCCTTCCCATAAACTAATTTACAATAACCTAGCTAATTCCTTGAAAAAAATGTTAGCAAAAATTAAGACAAATGTTTGGCAAAATTACTTACTGAAGCTTACTCCCAAATATGGTAGTCTCTGGAGGGAAACAAAACAAATTCTTCGTTTCAAATCACCGAATCTCCCTATTAAGAAATCAGATGGTAGTCTAGGCACCCCTGACCTTGAAAAAGCAGAACTCTTTAAGGAGCGTCTTTCTCTAACTCTTCAACCACACTCTGAGAAAATTGACAACGAAAATATGAACTCGGTAGAAACGTTCCTGAACGCTTCCCTTCCTATACTCTCCCTGTCAAGTCATTTACACCAAACGATGTAAATTATGCCATACTTAAATGCTCACTAAACAAATCACCGGGCTATGATCGCATTACTGCGGAAATAGCCAGATCCCTTCCAACTAGAGCTATCGTTCACATCACTCACATATTTAATGCTGCACTTAGACTTTCTTATTTTCCTATACTGTGGAAATTCTCCACTATAACCCTGTTCCCTAAACCAAATAAGCCGCAGGACATTCTTTCATCACATTCGACCAATCAGCCTTCTTCCATTTTTGGAAAATGTGTAATGTTTTTTTATGCTGTTGAGCCACGCAGAAAATCAGTTAAATGTTAAATGTTAAATGTTATAGTAAAAAAAAAACTTTTATCATTTGAAGCATTAGTCCATCTACCCAGATTTCTGAAAACGTATTTATTAATCGCTTATGTAAGTATCATGAATCATCGTTCATGTAAGTAAAATCGGATTGCATCACACAAACAGCAATCAAAAATCATAATCTCATTACAAGCCATAAGGTACTCAAATAAAGGGATAAACTAAACCTACAATTTGTAACTTCACATCGATATCAGTAAATACGCTTATCAACAAATGATAGTGTCATTATCAGTCTTTTTTATAATTGATTTTTGGTCATAATCATAGACCTTATGTATTAATTAATATTAATGGTCAAACGCAAAGTTAGCACGCATTTACAACTATGTGATGCTGTTCGATAACAGTGCGTAAGACATAAGTGAATTGGAAGCTCGACGTGAATCCATATTAAAAATCAGCGAAACACTTGAAAAACTTCAGTAAAATGTAAAATTAGAAAAAGAAACAGACAATTGAGAAGAAGAACAAACACGTTGATCATTAGAAGATTTAATGTTTGATATTCAAGCAAAAATTAAAATACACATACGAAAGGATTAACATCCTAGGGTTTAACACATCAACAATAAGTAACTACCGAGACTCAAGTAAGACTGCCCAAAGTAGATTAACCTAAGTGCGATAGTGATACTAAAGAGTAACCAAACTTTAGGGATCTCTTTTCAACATTAGTCCACAACAATGAGTTAATATAAGCAGTTCAATAATCCATGTTCCTCAAGAGCACATTTAACGGCCATTCATAAAGCAATTCCAGTTACAGGCTTCAATTACCAAGCTGCATGGAAATCATTGTTTGACAGGTATGAGAACTTACAAATATTAATGTCTAGTCACCTTAAAATAATTTTTCAGAAAACTATAGTAAGAAAGGGATTCACAAACAAATTAAGAAGATTGATAATGGGATTGAATCAAATCATGAGAGAATTATAGAAGTTAGATGTGCCTGTTGTACACTGGGACACAATTATAATTTATTTAACGAATCATAGATAACACCAAGATATGAGATAAAAATGGTATCAAAGTGCAACCAAATAGCAAATTGGACACGTTGTTGTAGGACATAGTAAACCACAGCCTCGGGCAAACATGCATGTAGTTACAACGAACAATAAGTCAAACAAGTGATTTGTATGTCAAGACACTTCAAACAAGATATTCCCACTGTCGCCAATTTTTAAAATCTTCAAAATCTACAGCTTTTAATTATCTAAAATCAGATTGTCTATCATGTCAAAAATTTAACAACAAACATAAACATCTCAAATTAACCCGGTCGCCTCACCAACGAGCCAACGTGATTCTCCACCTTCGCCTTCTGCTGACGAAGAAACCTTATCAGAAGATTCATTCCTTTCATCAACCACAGAAGACGACAAAAGCAGTCACCAGTCCTCTACAAACGACCATCAGCGCATACCAAAAAGAATCCCGCCAATATTCTTGACGACAAAACCTGAGTACTCATGGCGCACCATAGCCAAAAGTCTTTATGAAACACCCGGACACGAATATGTGGAAGCAAGTACCACATCTAAACTCAACGAAATCAAACTGAACTGCCCTGACGAAGCTTCTTTCCTCTCAGTACAGGCATTTCTCGCATCTATTCAAGATAAAGTAGGGTTCCACACTCATGCACTTCCCAGCCAACGCACACTAAAAATAGTCATCAAAGGCATTCCTCTTGATATCACTGACCAAGAAATAACCGATGAACTTAAATCCCATGGATTTGAACCAACATTAATCAGAGCTTTCTCAAAAAACGGCCACAGAATTCCTCTACACATGGTTAAACTTGCAAACCTCGAACAAGCTAAAGACATATATCAAGTATCTAAACTCTTCTTTATCAACATCAAAATCGAACCGTATAGATCAACTGGTCCGGCACAATGCTACAAATTCCAAAATTTTGGCCACTCCCCCTTCGGCATGGGGTCCTCTCATCAGGGCATCAAACTGGGCAAACATAGAGGCAGTCCAAAACGTGGCGATCCGTACAATCACAGGTGCCCACTTTTTCACCAGAAATAACGCTATCTTAAATCCACCCATAAACTCTTTGCGAAACGAAGCAGAACTAGCGGCTAGGGTATTTTATCACAGAAATGCCCAATCAACATTCGCCCACATCCGCGACATTGGAACATCACCAGCTCCTCAAATACTCACACGCCGACCAAGACCAATCAACTTTGCGAAATTACAATAATATACTCCACATCCTGACAATCAGCCATTAAAAAATTCAAACATAAGTTATAGGCATCGCCTGACACTTACAAACACAGCTGGGGTTTTTCCTCGGCTCCCAATTCGAAGAAAAGCAAGCACTCCTCCCTCCAATGCGGCCACTCTTCAAGATGCGTCAAGTGTGGCGACACCCATGCCTCAAACTCGTGCATCAAACCTCTGGATGTCGCGCCTAAATGCTGCAACTGCGGTGGCGCTCACACCGCAAACTATCGAGGATGCCCCTTCTACACTAACCTCATGAAACAAAAAGAAGCCCAATCCAGCAATCCCCATAGCCGCGAAAACAAACTCAGAACCACCAATCGCCACACTCCGCCTGAACCATCTGCACGTCATGACAACACATCACCTCAGATCCACCCAATAGCATCATTCGCTGAAGTCACCAGTGGTCAAAAACCAGCAGCACCTGAACCTTCTATAACGGCCACTAAAGTACTGCTTATAATACATAAACTATTAGCTTCAGCTCATGATTGTAAGGACGCCTCCACCAAAGATACCATCATAAACACCATCATGTCAATCATCACAGAATTCTCAGCCCAAAATGAATAGCATTAATATTCTCTTTTGGAACTGTAATGGCATCAAGCACAAGAACAATGAACTACACACCTTCGCACGTCTCAACAACATACACATCATTCTCCTCCAAGAAACTAAATTAAACCCATCAACCATACTCAAGATCCCAAACTATTTTACCTACCGTCAAGACCGTCCACCAAAACCCAGATCCCCATCAGCGGGTGGTACTGCCATACTTGTCCACAAAAACATAATTCACAACCAAGAGGACATCAAGACTTCCCTCGAGTCAACTACAGACAAAATCAAACTTGGGAACGACCAAGTCCGTATAACTTCTATGTATAAGAGTCCAAATTCTCCCCTGCAAACTAACGACCTAGACATCCTGACAAATCAAAATGACATTTTTCTAGCAGCTGGTGACCTTAACGCAAAACATCAGTCTTGGAACTGTCGCACTACAAACCAGGCGGGTAGAATTCTCCACCAACATATGGAAACATCCAACTCATACTCCATTTGCGCACCTGACTCCCCAACACACTACTCCTACAATTCTCTACACAGGCCAGATATCCTGGACATAGCACTTGTAAACCTCCATCACAGAGAGTATGTCCTTACTAATCATAATGAGCTAACGTCAGACCATAACCCAATTGTTATGACTATAAGCGACTCTACTATTACGATTAACCCTCCGGCTGCCAGAAAAAGAATCAACTGGAAAAAATTTGAGCAAGAACTATCGCTTAATTCTCCAAAGCTGACGACCAAACTATCAAACCCAACAGAAATCGACAACGAGGTTGATTCATTTACCACACTCATAAAGTCAACAATCGAAAAATGCTCCTACCTCATTAACAAACCTCAAACCAGAGAGCCACTCTCCCCCGATATCCTACTTGAGATTGCCACCAAACGAAATTTAAGGAAAGACTGGCAACGCACTAGGCATCCAGCAGTAAAGACAATGCTAAACGCCCAAATAGTGTATGTCCGAAACCTCCTTAAAGAACACCGTCAATTAGCATGGGACCGTTTCACATCCACACTAAATTTCCAAGATCAATCACTCTATAAATTAAATCGTCGTCTGCTTCACAAGAAGCCAGCTTCCGCCCCGTTAACGACAAACTCCGGTCAAAAATCTACGACACTAAATCCAAACTGGATCTGTTTGCAGACACAATGAGGGACCAGTTTACCGCCTACCCTGGGAACGAGCTATTGGAGGTCAGCTGATCGGTCAACGAACTGAACGGATACTCCACAAAGTCAAGCCTTTTCACTACCCCTGGGGAAGTGTTTGGAATTATTAAAAACCTACCATCCGCCAAAGCCCCTGTACACGACAACATTACAAACGCTGCACTAAAGCACCTTCCAGCCCCTGCCATCGTAAGACTAAGCAACTTAATCACAGCTTGTTTCAGACACTCTTTTTTTCCGACCTCCTGGAAAACTGCCACCATCGTCATGATTCCGAAGCCTAACAAAAACCACAGTCTACCAATCAACTACAGGCCAATATCACTTCTCGTCACGATGTCAAAAGTATTTGAAAAAATTCTACTAAGCCATCTAAACAAATATTTTAAGCCAAGATCAGAACAACACGCTTTCCGACACGGACACTCGACGACTACGCAACTCACTAAATTGATCGACGACTTGGTAATAATTACAAATAATAATAGACACACGGCTGCCATTTTCTTGGACATGGAGAAAGCGTTCGACAGAGTGTGCCACGACGGATTAATCCACAAACTCCACACAATGTCAACCGTCCCCACATCCCTGATAAAAATCATTAAATCTTTCCTATCAAACCGGAACTTCCAAATTCAAATCTCCGACCTCAAATCAACCCTCAGAACAATCGAAGCAGGAGTTCCACAGGGGTCATGCCTTTCTCCCCTATTATACACTCTATACATCAATGATCTCCCATCCTCACCTCATGTTACTACTTCATTGTTTGCCGACGACACCATGTTTTACTCTAGTAACACGTCGAAAAACTTCGCCATAATCCGTCTTCAACGCCAAGTCACCACGACAACCGACTGGATTAATAAATGGCGTTTAAAACTGAACGCTCAAAAAACGGTATGCATACTTTTTGGAACCAGCCGAAAAGAAACCACGCGAAAAATCCAAATACTTGGCCAAACAATCGACTGGAAAAACAAGACCACCTATCTCGGCGTCACACTAGACAAAGCCCTGCGCCTAAATGATCACGTCAAGGTCTGCATCAGGAAGGCTAAGCAAGCCAGAGGGGCACTATACCCGATACTTAACAGCAGATCACCCATCCCAATGCCAACCAGACTCTCAATTTATAAATTATATATCAAACCAATTTTACTATATGCCTCTTCGGCATGGGGTCCTCTCATCAGTGCATCAAACTGGGCAAAAATAGAGGCAGTCCAAAACGTGGCGATCCGTACAATCACAGGTGCCCACTTTTTCACCAGAAATAACGCTATCTTAAATCCACCCATAAACTCTTTGCGAAACGAAGCAGAACTAGCAAGCCCACATCCGCGACATTGGAACATCACCAGCTCCTCAAATACTCACACGCCGACCAAGACCAATCAACTTTGCGAAATTACAATTATATACTCCACATCCTGACAATCAGCCATTAAAAAATTTAAACATAAGTTATAGGCATCGCCTGACACTTACAAACACAGCTGGGGTTTTTTCCCTGGCTCCCAACTCGAAGCAAAGCAAAGCAACAGACTAACTACAACCACTACAAAACACCACTGTCCGTTTCCCACCAATTTTCGTTCAAAATCGTCCAAGTCTTCCATGGCACAAAATCGCCAAGGAGTTGTTCAAACTAGAAGGTCTCGAGAATATGTCTGCAAAAATTACATCTACTCCTTCACAAATTAAATTCAACTGTCCTGACGAAAAATCATTCCGTACCATCCAAAAGTTCCTGGATGCAAACCAGGAGACCATAGAGTACTTCTCTTTTCCTGAACAAGAAGAAAGATCCCTGAAAATGGTCATCAAAGGAATCCCCCTTGAGGTAACCGACACTGAGCTATCAGACGAAAATTGAGGGAGCAATTTATAATTTGTGTTAAGGAAAGTAGAATGTTATTCGGTAGAAATTTAAGAGCAGTGTTGGTGATGAGATCGCCACCAGGGGCTTTGTTTTTGCGGAGTTTGTTTATGATTTTTTGGATTGTGCCAGGAGTGGTGAATAAATTAGATTTGGTGATATTTATGTGTCGAAGTGAGTTGGAGTGGGCAGAAACTTCTGGAAGGTCGGGACCAGGGTTTGGTTGGAATTGGAGTTCGAGAGAGTCGGCTATCAACTCGGCTCGATCGATGGCCGGAAAAACTAGACCGTTTGGGCCGGTAAGAGGGTGGGATGCAGGACGTTTGTGGAGGAGACATTTGTTTAGTTTGTATATGGAACCGTCCTGATGGTCAAGAGAATTAAGAAAAATGTCCCACTGGTCAGTTTTGTGAGTTTCGAGTAAAGTTCTGATTAGCGAGATTTTGGCGTTAAGTTGACGCTTCGATCGCGTGTTGTATGTTTTTGGTGAGAGTATCAATTGCCAAATCAATTGACTCACTGTTGGTGGTCGGTCGTTCAGTTGGGTTTGGTATGTTGGATAGAATTGTCTTGTATTTTGTCTAGTTAATGAAGCGGTTAGTCGTTGGAGGGGACGATGATACTGGAGTACACAAGGTATCCAGAAGGATAGGGTTGTGGTCAGAAGATATCTCGTTGAGTTTGTCGATTTGAGTAGGATAAGGTAGTCGAACGAGTGCGATGTCAAGTATGTCAGGTCTGTATCTAGCGTTTGTCGGGAAGTGTGTGGGGGATGAGGGAGCAGTAATGGTATAGTCCGATTGTTGAACGTGATCGAAAATACGCGACCGGTAGCGTTTGTCGAGTGGCTATACCAGAGAGGGTGTTTGGCGTTGAAGTCACCTGCCGAAATTTGCCATTCAGCACTTTGGGTCAACAAGTCCAAGTCGTGAGACGTGAGTGTTGCACCTGGTGGTTTGTATACCGCTGATACAAGGACTTCGTGGCCGTTTAGTTGGATGAGGACAGAAGAGGTTTGAATGAGAGTGTTAAGAGTTATAGGTTGGTGAATGATGCGTCGGTGGATGAGAAAAGCCGTGCCGCCGTGAGCAGGCGGCAGGTTTGGGGCAGACGTTGGTAGTGTGGTTTCCAGCGCATTTTACACATCGCGGCGGATGACCACAGTTACGTAAACCATGGCCAAAGGGTTGACATGAAAAGCACTGGGCTGGGCCGGAGGGTTTGAGGGGTTAAACAGAAATTTGTAGGTAAAACAAGTTGTCTAGGGTAAAAATGTGTTTGGCCGTAAGATTGGCGGCGATGTGTACTGCTCATATGGGCATAGGTTTCTCCGGAGTTCCAAAGTGGAAGACGTGTTGAACGGTGTAACCCAGGGATTCTAGCTCTGGCCCTGGAGTTCGTCGGTTGATAATTAATAATTCATTGATAATTCATAATTAAGAAGTGCTAGGTTACGTATAAATACATCTAATTTGGTATTTAGATCGCGGACATTTTGATAATAAACAGATAGATTTTTTGAAATAGTTGATGTTATAAGTTTTTTGAGATAGTAGGAACATTGTTGATGTATCTAATAAATAAATTATCTTCGCCGTTATCATTACGTTGTTTAAGTTGAGATACAATTTTAGTGAAAAATTGCCGTTGTTGAGTTGTCCGATCCGTTGCAATGCGAATATCCTTGAAGTTAGCAGTACTAAGTAATTTACGTTTTACTCTTAAGACTTCAAAGACATCGGATGAATTTGGTAAAGTAGTAAGCAGAGGACGTGGTTTATTTGATTGTTTGCCCAAGCGACGGACAGACACAGGATTAATTTTTAAATCAATGCTTTTGAGTATTTCATCAACAGTAAGAGTGTCAGTTAACTGATCAGGTAAAGAATTAAATTCTTGTATATTAAAAAAAATTATATTACGAGCTCGAGATTGGCGGTCCATAAGTTCAGAGTAAACTGATTCAACGTTAGCTCCAGGGAAAGTTGTTATTTTGCCTTCTATCTGCTCAATTTTAGCTCTTAAGGTTTTATTTTCAGAAATAACTTCAGCTAGTTGATTTGATAGGGTATCTAATTTAGACTCAATAATAACTTACTTTTTTTCCTGGGTTTTGTTAGATTCCCGGCATGAATTAATAGAAGTAATGATTTTGTTTTGTGTAGATTTAAGTTCATTCACCGTATCCAAAATTTGTGTTAGAGACTCCTTGATATCAAGCGTTTCATTGGTTGAAGTGGACATTGTGAAAAGATAATCAAATGTTATGATAACAAAAAGTACATATTCCGTAAAAGTTCAATAAAGTTAACACTAAAATAAATTATGATAAAAAAAATTAATTATATCGTTAGTTGAAAAGATAAAGTACTGAGAGAACCGTACGCTACGACGTCTGAATAACGACTATATGTATATGTATATGTGACGGGGTGGCGCAGTGGTCGCTCACCAAACTATAGGTTCGGGTTCGAAATCCGGTCGGACAAAAACATTTTTTAACTTATTTTCCCCGGGCGGCGAGTTCTGCCAGAGATCTGCCAGCGGTGGCCATATGGGTAAGGGTGCCCGCGGGGGAACGGCGGCGGCGGCGTTGGATGGTGGGGGTATGTCGCGCACGTGCGCGACGGTGGGTTCTGCCGTCGGCGGCGGGATCTGCTGCCGTGTGCCAGGGATCTGCTCGAGCGCATAGGGATCTGCCAGCAGGATCTGGTTCTTATTTAAGTATCTACCATGGGCTAAGATTTAATGGACTGGAAACAGAGGCGGAACTAAGAATTTTTTCGACCGGGGAAAATATTAAAATTACGCCCAATCATAGGCCAAGATTGAAAATATTATATCATTCCCTACAATTGTTTTATAATAACTGGAACTAAAATTACAAACATACTTGTTGACTTTTAAACACATAATAATATATAAGAATTAATATGTTCTGTGGAATGTGTAACCAAGTGAAGAATCACATGATTACACTTACTTACTTACTTACTTGGTAGGACGGCTTTACGCCTATATACTATACCAGGCTTTTTGCCTTTGCTAGTAGCTGGATGTCAAAGTGGAATTTGCAACTGAGGATTCTTTTTAATTTTTGTTATATATTTAACTTGCTGCCCACAGTTTTACTCTAGGCCGTTGTTTATGTCTAGAGGCATGGGATGGGTGGGAAATCTGACCAATATTCCTTATATGATTGTATTGAGAAGTTGAGATTCGGTGGAAGGTTGCTAAGGCATTCTTTTTGGTTAAGTGATTACAAATTTTTATTTCATGAAATTTATGTTTTCGTAGAATAATCTGATAGTTCAATAGTTGCATAGATTTCTCCATAGTGCATTACCTTTGCAGTGATTACATTTAAGAAGTAGAAAATCAAAACATTTTGACTGCCTCAAAAAGTTGATGACACACAAAAAGTTATAAATAAGAAAATAAAAATATGTACTTATAACGTTTATAATTTTATTGATTAGCAAATTTAGAATGTAATATACAAATGCAAATTATGCTGATTTCATAATATTATTACAGTGCTCGATATGGTGGGGGGGGGGGGTGCGCAAGGGGATTAAAATTTTCAAAATTTCATTATTATACAATTGTACCTATGTATTTCTAATTCGGTTGGTGTATCTTCATTTTTAAATGTTGTGGTATTATTATTTAGTGTATCTATGATTTTCACTATTAATGGTTGTTTTGGACTTGCCTTTGTAGGACGGCCTACGGCCTATATAGAGCTCCAGGCTTTGTCTTTTATCTCTTGTTTCATGTTTTTCCCTCACAGTAGTGGACGATTGGTGATGAATTTAAATTTAATTGGATTGGATTGTGGTCTGACGACAGGTCATTGTGATTTATTATTGTATATTGAATTGACGATAGATCCAGTAGTATGATGTCAAGGACGTCTGGACGATGAGTTTGAATATATGGATAATGTGTCGGTGAATCAGGGGCAACAATTGTATAATTGCTTGCTTCCGAGTGGCGAAGTAATTTTCTGCCTGCAGTATTTGTTGAGAAGCTGTTCCAGCTCGGATGTTTGGAGTTTAAGTCTCCGGCTATTATGAAGGGCCCATTGTGGTTTGTTAGAATGTTTAGGTCATTGTGGTGGAGATTTGCACTAGGACTTTTGTATACTGCCGTGATTTGTGTTAATTTGTTTTTGAGTTTCAATTGTATTGTGGTAGATTCCACAGTGGTTGGTAGCCTGACGTGTTGATGGGTTATATTCTTCCGTATTAAAATTGCTGTTCCTCCTGAAGAGGGAGCGGTTGGTGTTTTTGGGCGGTCGGTTCGGTAAACATGATAAATTGGTATTGATATTTTATTTTTGGGGTTTAGTCGGGTTTCACCAAGTAGGATTATGTCGATTTTGTTTTGTTTTACGAATGCGGTGAGTTCTGGTATTTTGTTTTGGATACCGTTGCAATTCCATGAGATGATTTTGAATTCATTCATCATGGGATGTGGGTATGGTGTTGATTATATTTTGGACTGTTGTGATGACTGCATTCTTTGATGCGACGTCTTCACATTTTTGGGCTGTAGTAAGGAGGTCTCTAATTATTTGTAAGAGTTTTGATGTGTCAATTGTGAGTTCGGTTTTTCCTGTTTGGTGTTTTTTTGCAGCCGCGTATGATTTTATATTTGTTTCTTTGGCTTTTGCATGTGCTGTAGATACTGGTATATTTGTTGGTGGTACTTTCAACTTGGATTCCTGGATGAGTTTGGTTCTTATGGCGTCTCTGGATTGGTCGGTCTTTTCTTTGCAAGTATTAGTGTAGCCCCTATAGTTAGCAGTATGTTTACCATTGCAGTTACAGCAGGTTGGGCTGGTTGTTTTAATATTCTTGGTTCTTAATGATTCAATTTTAGGTATCTTAAAATCATTCGTTGAATTTAATTTTAGAAAATTGTATATTAATGGTATAAAATATATTAGACTTTATATATATATGTACTTTATACTTTATACTTTATATATATGACTTTGACTGCCAATCTGACTATTTGTAATAATATTATAATACGCTTGTTTGAGTTACCTGTGATGCCTCCATTCGGTCTTCTGAATTATCTCTGCTCTAGCGGTTCGCCTCGTAGATTCTTTTTGTCTGGAGATGCTGGAAGGTGATCGGTCTTCCAACGTTAGTTCTTTGATGAATTGTCTCTGTGACAAATTTTGAAGTTCAAAGAGAAGATGAAAACAAATTTAACTATATTATTCCAAATGTACTAGAATATGTTTCAACCAATAGAATAATTATGTGTCCAGAAAATATATTTAAGTGATCAGTTATCACTAGGACTGGCGAAAGCTAGATGCTGTCCAAAACATTGCACTCAGAACAATAACCGGAGCATATTACCTAACTACAAATGAAGCAATAAGACAGTCAACCGATATTCTATCCATTTCGGATACAATACAGTCGGCAATAGCTGTATTTTTACATAGAGCTTCTGTATCGAGATTCCGTCACATTCGGGCTCTGACCCAATAAACCTTGACAAACTGACGAATCGTCCACTACTGTGAGGGAAAAACATGAAACAAGAGAGAAAAGGCAAAGCCTGGAGCTCTATATAGGCCGTAGGCCGTCCTACAAAGGCAAGTCCAAGTAGGACTGAAGTCCTAAAAAATTGATCCAAAATTTTTTAAGTCCGAATAAATATTTAAAAATGTTACTGGCGTGAAGGTGATTGTAATTGCTTTGACAGTTCAATTCTGAATATGGTCTATTTTTGTCTCTTCTATATAGTAGGCCTACCCTCTACCTCTCTTATACTAAGAATAATAGTGTGTTGTTCTAGTTACTGGTGAATACGTGCTTACAGGTTCCAGGAAATTTCATCGACCCGAGCTCGGATAGTCGTTTTGTGATTATCTTGTATTGCTACGTTATCGATATTATAGAGAGTAGTTCTAATATCACAATTATGTGTATAGAATTACATACCCAGATACCCTGCATATATATAACTATTAGATATCCAAATGGTGTTTGGTCATTTATCGTTATGCAGTTTGATTGGCAATTAATCAAATTCATAATGCTTACTCACTCTTTTGTGTGTTGTTATATTATTTGTCATTATACTTTTTTTTTACTCGCATGTACTTCGCAACGCAATTCTATTCGTCAGACCATTTTGATAATTTGGGAAAGTACAGCTGTAATGATTTTCTCCTAGGTAACCAATTTTGCTGTTTGGCCTGTCAATCATATCATAGCAGTTTACTTCCCGATGTTATTGACTGTTTGTAATCAAAATATGGTGTTTCCGCATATATTTTATGCATGTATATATATAAAGCCACCATTTTATAGGAATAAATATTCATATGGATGATTGCGTTTTCTCATTGAACAGAGTATAAACATTATACGAAATAATTGAACTTGTAAATAGTTGTAATAATTTTATTATATTTATATAGGACGTTTGTGCATGGGTAAGGTTACAAATTTATTTATTATTATCATCGATCCTACATTTTTTACCTGATGACTAATATCTAACTATTATAGATGTACAAGCAGTTATTGTAAAATCAGTTTAACCTTATAATTAAATGTTTGTATTAGTATGTAGGTAGTTTTCACATTATATAAAATTGTCCGTGGCATCTTTTAGACCCGTGGTTTTCAATCGAGCTGCCAGTCAATTTCAAACACAATTTTACAAGCAATATTTCTATATATGTTTGAGTTGATTTTGACAATGAGTTTTTACTATGTATAATCATTTATAAAGAATTAATAGATAATAATTTTGAGTCCATGTATATGAAAATTATAGAAAGTGTGTGTTGTATACATTATTTGATGTTGTACATAAATTATTATACATAGTATATACACATATAATTTAGTGCTCAATGGTATTGCGATTTTAACAGGTCGTGTTGCAAATTTTTTGAGGAATATGGTGTAATTAGTCAGGTCAAAAAAGGAAAAATTTCGCAATCGTGTTGCAGCGGTTGGCAATGCTTGTCAACCTATGACCTTTAGTGGACATTTTTTAACACTTTCAACGCCGCTGACGCGTATACGCGGCAACAGAGTTTATTCCATTGGGCCAGTGACGCGTTTACGCGTCAGTAACATGTACGTTTGTATCCGCCATAATTTAATCGATTTTATTTTAATAAACTCTGAAATGTACACAGGCTGTAGACAATAAACTCTAAATTTAAATCTATAATTGGTTTGAGTTTTCGTTATTAT